TAATTACTACATTGCTATGAATAAAAGCAATAATCCAGGTGAGGCTGATGGGAATCTCGTTCGTTTTGCAGTTATTTTGTCAAACATCAATTATTGTAAATTAAGGTTTTGTGGTGATAATGGCTTCATCCTCTTGGGACCATGGATGTCTGTTAAAATTTTCCCCACATCCAGATATTTCAGTCTGGACCAGCCTGCGAGCGAGAATAATAAAAACGATCGTGTTTAAATAATTTGATTAATGTCAAATGACCTGGGTTCGAGTACAATCTACCCAGAGTTGAGACCAGGAGGCAGAGTTGCTTCCACCCACCTAAAACCCCATACAACCGGGGTCTGCATAAAACATAACAATACTTTAATGTGTACTCTTAAACATCGGATCTCTCTCACCTGAAGCTGTGCAAGTAAATTATTTAACATCAGATTATCATCTTGATTTATTTTGTCTGGATATGGTAGCCTAAATGAATCACACCTCTTCCTTTCAGACTGCAGCTGAGATAGCGTTTGTATTCCCCTATTGCCTGTTTGTGCATATTCGATACGGACCTGGGAACCTTTTTTCAAGCACTGGTTTCTCATTTATGCTTGTTGTCACTAATTTGCATCATACCTGAATTTATATATTTTCTATGTTCTAAAGACAAATTAACAATTTCCACTTAATTTAAGATCAACCTAAAAGCAAATTAAAACAGAAATATATATATATTTTTTATTTTTTAACTATAACTATAGGACTCATGCTAACTTCATTCCCTCCCAAAATGATAATCTTGTTGATAGTGCTGCAGGCTCACTGTGAATGACACTTGACTCTGTTGCCCCTCTAAAAAAGAAGATTATAAAACAAAGATGGTTAGCTCCATGGTAGAACCCCCAAACTTGCAAATTAAAACAAACGTTGCAGAAACTTGAAGGGAAATGATTTTCTAACAATCTGGAAGAAACTGCAAGATAGAAACATATAGAAAGTCCCTAAGAAAGGCCGGAGCAGCATCTTACTCGCCATTAATTGAAGAAAATAAGAACAACCCCTGGTTTCTTTCAGCGCTGCCAGTGAGGCTGACAGAGACACACAGCTCTATTGCGCCATGTACCCATCAGTGGTAACGACTTCATGAGCTTCTTCAATGAAAAAAAGCACAAAGAGAGCTAAAAGGACAAAGCACAAAGGATGCTAAAAGTACCCCTCTCTGTGGGTTCCCTCCCTTTTTGTGTGTGTGGGTGTTTCCCAGGCTTGTTGCCAGATTATTCCTTGCCTTGCATGCTGGAGTACTTCAGGCTTGCTACTAACTTTCTAGTCTCTAGTTAATTGTAATTTTGAGTCACTTGTTGAGTTGAACTTTGACGCTTTACACTGACCTGCTCTTTTTTTTTCTGCCTTTTTCAAGATAACTTAAGAACCTGCTCCACTACAACATGGTTGGTTTCTGGATTCAACCTGCTACCATTAATTCTTGGTGTCCCTGTAGTAAAACCTGTGAACTTTCATTCTGTTGCCTGTCGTTTGTATCTGCACCCGGGGCCGCCATTAGCCACATGTAACACATATCCTGTTACAGAGACTGAAACATTTTATTGGCATTAAAGATACCACTGTAAGCTGGTTTAAGTCCTATTTATCAGATCAGTCTCAGTTTGTACTTGTCACCTATAAACCATCCATGCATGCCAAAGTTAGTCACGGAGTTCCACAAGGCTCTGTGTTTGGAGCACTCCTATTCACTTTATAGTAGGCTTCCTTTACACGCCATAAACGCCATCATTTTTATTCAGATGATACCCAATTATATCTATAGATCAGATATAGCTCAGGGATACATTAAGATATAGTTACTCTGGATGGCATTGCCCTATTATCTACGATCAGGATATGTCCTTTTACTCCCACATAAAACAAACTTCAAGGACTGCCTTTTTTCACCTCCAAACATTGCAACAATCAGGAACATCCTGTCTCAAAATGATACAGAAAAACGAGTCCACACATTTGTTACTTCTAGGCTGGATTACTGCAATTCCCTTAAGACTCTTCAGCTGATTCAGAATGCTGCGGCACGTGTACTGACAAGAAGTAGGAAAAGAGATCATATTTCTCCTGTATTAGCTGAGAGTGTAGAAGGTCAGAGTGAGACTAATATTGTTTTGGTCACTTTTTCCTGTGCAAAACTGAAAAATCACCCACCTGCAATATAATGGAAATGATGCTGTTTTATTAGATCTGATGATCGATTAGATTAGTATAATTAAATGTATTACTTTTATTAGTTTGTTGTACCATTATTAGTGTTGTTGTGGAGGGTTTCAGTTTGTTTGTCTATGATCTAAATGTTGTTTTAGAAGCAAGACATTAAATGTAATTGTTATTTTGTGGTGTGGTTGCTGAGCTGCCCTGTCCTCCCCCTTCATTATGCAGGTGATGATGGCTGTTGTGGCCATCGATCAACAGATAACCCGGGCTATTTCCAGACAGAGGAGATTAGAAGGATTAACACAGTCGAGGGTGAGGAAACCACTCACCTTCCACTCCGGCTCTGTGAACTCTATCTGTCTACATAATGTGCCTGCTGTTGTTGACAGGAAGTCATTCTGCATTCAAAGCCATTAGAAAGCCTCAAAGCCATCATTGACGTTTTCTGCATAATTATCACAATGAATTTACACAACTGTAATGGTTCAATGTTTTACAGAAACCAGACCATGACCCTGTCAACCATAAACCATAAAGAACATGTGAAATGTTGCAGCCTTGATTACTTGAGAACATAATTCAGATCAGTCAGATCCATCAATTCGTCATTTGAAAATGGAGGTGAAGCCTATTTGACAGACGTATTTCCCCTGTCACAGTGGGAGTGAGCAGTATTTTCTAACAGGAGACTTGCTGTCCTGTTGTGTTTCCTGTAAATGCTTTTTATCTAAGTTGTGCTCTTTTTTGAATTTAGTGGATAGTATATGGAGCATCGCAGCATGCCATCCTTCTCTGCTGCTTGCATCTAGAAACTATTTTCAATATTATGCGTCTGGCTGTTTTGACAAAATTTCTATCTATTTAAACATCTATCTAAGTGTATGTGGTTTGAATTTCCAAATTTGGTCATTTCAAGTTTTGGAATTTAAAAAAAAAATGTTTTCAACTTCACTAATTCATTCTTTCTTGAATCACATGACTGACAGAACATAACCTGATAGGACAGAGGTCTGGTTGATTATATTCACCTCAACTGCTTATTTTCGGCAGCTCAAACGTTTAATGCTGAGTTTTTCATTTTGACTTTTGGTGTCTGAATTTCACCAAAAACACTCTAATTTGAAAAACTCAGTTCAATTCATTTTATTGGGGCTTTATTGGAATGAGAAACAGATGAGTTTTTCTTTAAACCAAAACAATAAAAAAAAATAAACATTGTACATGTGAACCTTAAAAAAATACTTAAAATCAAGTTGTTGGAATGGCAAAAAAATATATATATTATTTGGTGGCTGTAATTAATTAAGATAGTAGCAAAACAAAAAATTGTATAATTACAAAACACTATACCACTAAAGCTTGAATGCTGCATGTTGTTCATTACTTAACAACATTAGAATTGGGAGTTCAGGAGAAAGACATACATGTTGCGTGAGACTCTGGCTGTTATTTACGTTGCTGTGCTGCCGCTGACGTCACCCGACGCGGAGATCCAAAAAATAAAATCAAGTTTCCGTATATATACCCAATCAGACCAACAAAAATCCCTTTGGATTTCATAATAAGAGCATAACTTCTGTTCTGGAAAATGATTTTACAGATTGGGTTCCATGGAATAAACTCAGTGGAATAAATTCATAACCAGTATCCAAGTATAGTACAGGTCTAATATATTTTCTTAAAGGGTGATATGGAGTGGAAAGATTTCATAATGCAGTTTATTACAAGGTTTACTGTATCGTCACTTGATGTAGCAGTAGGGATCTTTAGATTCCATATATAGGCTACAGATGTAGGCCTATAACAACAAAAAAAATATAGAAACCTAATCTTCACCAATAGTGTTGTATTTTGTAGCCACTTTACAGATGGTTTACACAAATTTTTGCAAAGCTTATGGTGTTTAAGATTTTTTCTGATAGGATTGTGGCTATTTGACAGCTTTATTGTTATGTTATGGTTGTGTGGAAGAGTTGAACATGAAAAGATAAGTAACACCGACTATAAAAGCAGTCATAATATAATTTTCAGTGTAGGTTACAAGTGGTTCATGTAATAAAGATATTAGAGCCTGGCTGATATATCAGACTACTGCGATGGACGGGCGACCTGTCCAGGGTGTACCCCGCCTTTTGCCCGATGCCAGCTGGGATTGGCTCCAGCCCCCCCGTGACCCTGTACGCAGGATAAGCGGTTGACGATGGATGGATGGATGGATGGATGATATATCAGACTATGTTAGCTTATTGCAGTTAAATTTGTATCCTCAGTCTTTATGTTGGTGCCAATAAATAACCAGAAAGTAGTATCAAAGTTATGAGGTCATGTAGAAATAATGTTGCTGTTACATAGTCAGGGAGGACTGACAAATAGTCTATAAATAGATAGATAGACAAACAACAAAATAAGCAGTCTGGCTCTAGGGATGGCAATATGTTTGTTTTTTGTGGTTCACTACAACAGATTTAAAAATCTCGATTCAGTATTGTACTTTGTGTTTAGCTCTTATTAGCAAATATTAGTTTGACTAAGTTAGTGACCATGGTAAACATTACCTGCTTAAAATCAGCATGTTAATTTTCAATGTGAGCACAGTGGCTATGTTGATGTAAGCTAAATGCTCGAAGCACCGCTGTGCAGCCTCACTGAGTCGCTTAGTGTGGCTGTGGACTCTTGGCATCTTCAACTGTGAGATGTCCTGGTCAGTATATTCATGCTGATAACTGTATCAGTCTCTTGGCAGTGTAGGTGTTGGTATAGGTGTCTACTCCAAATATAAATGAAGGTAGACTAAGTTAAATGAAATACTCACCGTGTAGGCCTTCAACACAAACTAACCCGAATTACAGCCTCCAAAATGACCATATACACCTCTCTAAAACTGTTTTAAAAATGAAAATTACAGATGGTAGGATTTATTGCAGGGCTGTTTTAGGTGGAATTCATAGACTGTTCCCTGTAAAACACCGCAGCTGCTTTATTTTGAAACTTCTTGGCGGAAATGCTTGTGAGCTCAGCTAGCTTGGCGGCTAGCCTGCGCACCGAGTCTCCTTGATGCCGCTGATGAAACGGTTCTGTGTCCAAGGATTTCTCCTCCATCACTTCCTCATTTTGAGCAATGTGTCGTCAGGCAGGGAGGTGTGAGGAGCTCGGCTCTTCACTCCTTCACGCTGCCCAGGAGCCATGGCGGAGCGCGCACTGAGGAGGAACCGCACCGGGTCCACAGCAGCGGCTCAGACCAGGAAGGATCCGCGTTAACTTACCTGCAGCACGGCCACAACTAACGTTACCGCTGAGGGAACACAATGGTGACGGCTTCTGAAGTTTTGTCTTGTCACAGATGGCGGGTTTAACTTTCCACTTTCTGCCATTTTCCTAATGTCGACGGGATCATAGCGACGCAGAGTTTGTTCTGCTTTTAATTCTTCCAGTCCTGTAAAGCCATCTGCCCCAGACGTAAATCTGGCGCACTGTCCCGCAGTGGCTCATAGAGCGCCTCTTTAATATTTCACAGCCGACTCAGTGGAGGTTAACATGGGGGCAAAGCAGAGCAGCCCGACTGCTAACCCCGCTGCTAACGGACGGACCAGAGCCTACTCCGGCTCGGACCTGCCCTCCAGCACCTCCAGCAGCAACGGCAGCAACGTTAGCGCCAGCAGGACTACTGCCGGGGGTGTGCGGTACCACGCGCACGGCGGGTCCCGAGCCTCCGGAGCCACGTCCAGCACCAGCCAGCATCTCGGAGCCAGGGCCAGGTCTGTGGGGGGCTCCGGAGGCTCCGTGGCCAGACCTCAGTCCGGCATCAACATTCCGAACAGCAGCGGAGCCTACAGCTCCCAGGAGTCCGGAGGCAGCAGCCCGGAGGAGGCGGCGGACAGGCAGCGCTCAGGCGGGGGGCACGAAGGTCGCCGGCTGCTGATAGGATCACTACCAGCACACCTCTCACCTCATCTGTTCGGAGGTAAGAGGGCAGATCCGCTGTGTTGTGTTGATACAGCTCAGTGACTCACTGAACCGTAGTGACACTGACGCACGCTTGTTTACAGCAGCAGCGCTTGGCAGGTGGTTTAACATGCGGGCCAGCGTTACCAAAATACTGGTGTGCAAGAGAGTTAATATAGGACATACAACGGATTTCAAAGCAGCACAGAAAAGGAAAGAGTTTATTTATAACGGAATTGTTGTATTTATTCATTTAAAAAACAGTGTAATGAAACTGTTTGGCTAAATTTTTAATTCCCAAAGTCCTGTCTCTGCCAGGAATTCTTCCTAGAAATACTATAATTTATTCACTCTCCTAAAATAGTCCAATTTAAGTATATCAACCCTAAAATAGTGGAATCAGCCAATAAAATATCTACTGTGTGTTAGTTTTGTAAAATATAAACTTCCCCAAGTTTCCAAAACCCACCATATGACCTCAGTGACCTCAATGATAGCAGGGGATGAGTACTGCTGAAACTAGTAGTCGATTCATTGATGGAAATTTTTAATCACCTTTTCACACTTGATTCATGCTCACAAAGTGCTGAGGTTAGATAATCAGATCCACAAGGACAACACAAAGTTGTGTTGATGTAACTCACACAGACACTGAAGATGGAGATGGTGGCCAGTGAGCGAGCGCTGGGTTTAACGGCATCCATGTGTGAGGATGATGACTCACATGTGCCAGTTGAGCCAAACATTGTTAAGATAAACAGTGTGAGCCTCCGTGTGAATGTCTCCTTGTTGATTTCATTGATCGACCGCGACGGCTGCTGCGAGGACTGAAGCCATCTCGCTGACAGTTTGCCTAGTTCGGGTCCAAAGATCGACTAAGTGACCCAGTCTGTTGCTTTTGCAGACACTTAGAACCCCCCAAATAAACAATCGTATTGGGATTATTTTCACTGTGACTTCGATATGACTCACGATTTTAGTGGGAAAGAAAAAAATGCAAATATGTTATGTTTTTGCATGTTGTAGGCCGGGGTGTCTCTGTAGCACCACACTGCTTCATTTATAATGAGATGTTGTGACCTTTTTATCAAAAAACTGCAGCTCCTGCGATTTGGATATTGCACTTATATTATATATAACAAACCAATATACCATATTGCAATTTCGACGTTGTTCAGCCCTCCTTACCAACTCTACAGCGGCATCCACAGGTCAGTCACAGCTCTCATCTCACGCTCAGGTCATCCAATCAGATGGCAAGGCTATTTTCAGCTGTCCAATGATCTTCAATCAATACTGCTCAAAAGGTGTCTTGAAAGTAGTTAGTGATGGGAATTATGGCTCTTTGAATGCAGCCCGGATCTTATGGCCCTGTTCCTTTCGGCTCCCAAACGTCTCTTCTGCTGGTCACTGCCTAAGTTACACTCTTATTTGTTGCAAGAAATATATATGCAAGTTTCTTCATTTGCAATACGATGAAATATCATCATCTGTCATATCCATGGTTAAAAAGTTGGATATGTCAAGATAAACCATCCTAGCAAAAATAACACCCTAGTAATTAAATAGTATGGTTAATAAATAATTAGACAACTCTAAACAGACCTATGCTGTATATTTAAATGATTAATATAAGTGTAATTTGTTCATTTCTCGTGCTTTGTTCGCGACCGTCACATCACTAGAGCAGGTGGCTGCAGCCCGGAGAAGTGGAAAAAAATAAAGCTGCAGTCAAGTTGGACAGTTTCCAGCAATATAAAGAACAGTGACAATTAACGAGACTATGGCGGCCCGCCACAGTCTAATTTGTTCCGCCACAGTTTCAAAATAAAGCAAAAAATTACACTCTTTATAATAACAATAACAAGACCACTTTTCTTTTGAGGTTGCTACAGTAGCGTTAAGGTATTGAACAGCTTTGAGGTGTTTCCACTGTCACTCGATTGTGAAAGCACGCTAGCCGCAGGTAAAATTGGAGTGCACATGTATTCAAGCCTTTATGGTAATTGCAGTGAACCCGAGCAGCTGACAGGCAGGGTAGCTAGTTTATTCTTACATTTTCTGTCTTAACAACGACAAGTGTTGCAGTACAACAGTCTTACCTGAAGAGACGCTATGGACTCTTCACCGTACGCGATATGAGAACGAGACAAGGTCCGGTTTTCAAAATGGGGTGTTAACAAAAGGTATATACAGCAAGGAAATAAGATAAATTTTATTATATTTACAGGAAGTATGTCCACTAAAAATTAAAAAGACAATAAAATGTTAGGGAAATTACTTGCTGTAAAAGCAGTAAATAAATATGTTGTGTTTAGTTTACTAGAGCACAAAATTGTTTAAAACAGAGTGGAAAGTTCTTCATAGATCTAGCCTATTTATTTTGCTTTTACAGTGCACCAGATTAATGCATTGAACTTTTAAAATTTACAAAGTTTTTTTCCAGGGGAGCATGCCCACGGACCCCATTAGATGGTCAATATAAATACATCTAAATTTCATCTAAACTTAAACGCATTCACATCTCACAATAAAGAAATTCAAAACATCAATCAATAGTAACCTCACAGTTACATATATAGACGGAGAGAGGAAAAGCAGGAACACAAGGCACATCATTGATTTGATCATATTGCATTGAGCACTTAACAAACAGCGGTAGGCTATTCATGGCAGTGTGCATGCAAGTGAGTGTATTTACTAAAACAAACAAGTGCCTGCACAGTACACACACATGCTGCAGGTTGTGTATACAGGTTGTTAATGTGAGCGTGAGTCAGCAGACAGGCGCCTAATAATTTACTCAACTTGTTGAGTTTCCTTCCTCTTTAATGGTGCACGGATTAATCAATAGTGCACGCACACACACACACACACACACACACAGATATGTGTCTGCAGGCTGTGTTAGCAGATGTTGGTAAAGTATCTGTTGTGTAATAGTCATCCAGTTAATTTAAAGGGTTACTTCGCTGTCTTCACACTGATCTGTACTGGTATCAAGCCATAAACTGTTTTGATTATATCTGCCCAGGTGCTCACAGCAAGAACAGCGTCAAAAATAAGCGACATCAAACCGTTTCCTGTTCATTTGGATAATCCAAAGACCTTGTTGTTAACCGTTTTCTACTTTCACTTTCTTTCTGTCCTGTGAATTAACAGCGACACTTGTAGAATGTAAACTCCCCCAAGGCTGGAAAACTCCCAAATGATCTGGGACATGATCTCAGATAAGTAGCAGGGCTGCCAAAAGGGATTCTGGATCTGGAACTGGATTCCAGAAGCCGGCTTAAGCATACATTGTTTGCTCAAGCTGGAAACATTTGCTCTGGGATAATCTGCACCCGCTCACATTGTTACATTGATTTAATGTGTTGTGATGCACAATGAAAAGCCCACAGAGAATTTTCACAATAAACAGTTGTCCTCAAACAGTCAACTCATTGTTTCTCACCTGCAACTTGACTATTTTAGTTGAGTCTTACTGCTCTCATCAACCTTGTTTCCATTTCCATTTATTCATTTGGCAGACGCTTTTATCCAAAGCGACTTACATTTGAGGAACAACATACAATCATCAACAGAGCATCAAATACAGCACGAGATCTACAACTGACAATACATAAAAGCAGCAAATACTAGTAAGCACTAATGGCACATATCGCATCAATGGGGTAAGTACCTAGAAAAAGAAGTTTGAGTTTACAAAAAGCGGGGACAGAAGAAGAAGTGCATGTTAGATGTTAGGAGTTAGAGTTGTTATAAGAGGAAGTGTTCTCGGAAGAGATGAGTTTTGAGATGAAGTTAGAGAGGGATGCCCCTACTCTGATGGCGTGCCTCTCTAACTTCAAGAAGCTCTTGAAAACTCATCTCTTCGGAGAACAGGTTGTCCAGATGCAGCAGGCAGCTGCTGTCAGTAGAAAAGGTCTGATAAACCTTCTGTACACTATGATTAGCAATTAGCTGAGCAAAAGAGCCAGATATATAGAGAGCTGAGGCGAAATGAACATTTCTGTTTTTTAGTGGCCTTTAACGAACACCATTTTCCATAAGGCCTAGATGTATGCGGGCTCAGTGTCACGGCTCAACAAAGGAGGCGAGTCCATGAGCAGGTCGAGGGGTCGCGGTTAGCTCAGACATGTCTGTAAGAACAGCAAGACACAGACGTCTGAATGCTGTAGACGTTTTTAGACAACGGAGATTACAGCAACTTTAGAAGGGAGCTTTGGTGAGTTGAAGACGAAACCAAGTTATGATGACTTTATGATTGTCCTTTTTTAATAATAAAACATAAAAATGATAAAGTTATGATAAAGTGAGCCATGTAAAGCGCCAAGTATGCCTCGGAAACCAGACTGAGTGAGAGATTACAGTAGCGAGTGGAAGAGAGGTTAGCCCAGACATGAGGTCATGACTTTGGCTCTTGAGTTCCCTCAGGAGTTGGTGGGGACCAAAACGGAGCTAAAAGGAGAGTTAATATTGGCCTGGCATGGGTGGACATGAAGATGACTCAAAATGAATATAAATGTTGCTCTGTGTCTGCTGGATGTGTAAATTGGTTTGCTTACCATATCAATTTTACAAAGCCATATTTCAAATGTGTGGGATTTAGATTTTGTTCTAATCATGAAATTGAAGAGTCCTGGATAAGGTTATATGTTACGGAAATGCTCTCTGTGTGTTCAGGAAGACAATGTCATAGTCCAGAGTCTCTAATCATTGTGTTTGGGTTGTTGTGAATTTCCTCCCTGCTACACTGGAAGCTGTAAGCTCATCATGGAAATGCTTTCTTGTTGTCAGCGTGCGATTTGGATGGATATAGCTTCCTATCACTTTTGGAGTTCTAAATTGTTCCAAACTTCTGGTTTCATGGATATGCTCATAATGGACTGGGTCCAGACTGAGAAATTGGATTAAAGGGCCTAAATTGCTGCTTCCTTTTTCCCTGAAAAGTAATTATAGCTGGGTCAAAGGTTTAATAAATCAGGCTTAAATGTTGTGCAGAGCTGTAGATTCTCT